AAGCTTGCCCTGTTTTTCCAATTTGTATAAGTCTATTTGTGTATAGTCCTCATGTGTAACAACACACAGGCTGGAGTGTGTATTTCAATTTTGATATAACTAACACTTTATGACTTAAATTAAATGCAGTCAAAATTGTCCAAGATGGCCACCCATTATCAAGGACAAAAGTGGTTGTCCTAGACAGGGGATATCTTGAACTGTGTCATTATAATATATGTTTTTAAAAACACAAAGGGGGAAGTGGGAAATGGTCATTTGTTCAGGTGATTTTTTTGGACAGATGGCCATTTGTTTGAGCAGGTTTGACTGTACTTAAAACTTAAACTGAAACACACAGGGTGAACTTCCTATTTGTCTTTACATTTCCAGTCTTTACATTTCCAGTCTACTGTATTTGGCCATATGGAGGAAGCCAGGGTTTGTTTTGTTTTGTTTTTGTTTTTATTTTTATATATATATATATATATATATATATATATATATATATATATATATATATATATATATATATATATTTTGGGTTTTTTTTGTATTCCATGCAACTAAATATGGGAATCATATCATTTTACAATCTTTCCTTTAAAATGTCACACAAAGAATCCGGCCGTGAGGTGCTTCTGCAAAGAGAGAATATGACAGCTATACAATGAAAGAAGTTTGTGAGAATGCAATTGAAATGTGATTATTATTTTGAAGACAATGTTTGTTTCTACTATGATCTCTGCAGGCATTCACTTAAGGATTGTCTGCTGTTGACTTTTGTTGTCCAGACGCTGGCACACTGATAAATGTTTTACCACACACGCACACACACTCACACACACGCACGCACACACATTCTCTCTTCCACACATATGTAGCTCTACACATACACACATGATATATGCTTACTCTCACTAACCCACAGTCACACACATATATATGATATATAAATGAAGTGGCTTCTATCCAAAGGTATCTAGCTAACTGGTCCCAAAGGTTCTCTTGAGGACGAATCCTGTAATGATGTTTAATACTTGTACAGACAAAACTCAAGAAAAGCCATCGCTTTGCCTTTCAACAAGTAAAGCTGTCCGTGCTTTCATGTTTGTTTGATGTTGTTTTTTTTGGGGGGGAGGGGGGGGTCTATTTCAAGATGAGAGTTGTAATGGTTTCAGTGTGAATGAATATTTGTAGTGTGGGAAAATGTAAAACCGTGGCCTGAGATACACAATGCACCATATATACTCGCGATTCTATTTTAAATATGAGGCCCAAAAATAGACCCTCGTATTGTACACACAACATACTGACAGCATCAGCCCCAAGAAAAGTAAATAGGCTTAATGCCAAATAGGGTTTATTAAAAATCTGCTTATTACAACACATTATCATTATGACATTCTGCTTGGATTACCTGCCACTCCAGTCTCACAAATTAAATCAATCTCAATGCAACAAACAACAGTTAAAACACAAGAGGTAAAAACACTATTTTGATACGCAACTAGTACTTGATTTCACACATGTTGAGCCCCCTCAAGCATGGCAAATATTCACTGGATATTATATACGCAACCTACAAAAATGGGCTGATTGTAGGGTCACAAAACTTGTTGGTTTTTTTGAGTAAAGAGAAGCTTATGAAACGGTCATTTAGTGCTGAGAAAAAAAAAAGTAAGATCGACAGACTAAAACAACAGAGGGGAAAGTAAACAAGTTAAAAGGACCTACCCAGTGGCGCCCTGCTACCACCCACTGAGTGAAAGCATACCCCTGGATTGTGCTAAAGTTTGTGTTATAGGCGAATACTGTATTTTTTCCCCCCCTTCAACAGAAATTACCTGTGTGAACCTCATCACGAAGGCCAACATATATAATACAATATAATATAAGTGTGCGCCAGAACATGTATACCCATTGTGAACAAACTACCCATGATGGCCCTCTGATGGTGCCAATGTCTCCTGCTGGGAATCATACAGCATGTTTTCTATGATAATGAGTGTATGTTGTGCATGCTTGTTGTACATGTGCAACTGTGAGAAGAAACGTGTGAAATGTACACAGGACTTAAGTGTGTGTTTGTGTGTGTGTGATTTATGTACACTAATGTTGTGTGTATATAATACATACATGTACACTTTTTTTTATTATGTGTGTATGCATAAGTGAGATAGGTGTACTACAGAGTGTTTGTGTATTGATAACTGTCTTAACAATCTCTTGAGAGGAAAATTTGTGTAGGAATTTATTTATTTTTTTTCAAGAGGGGATATTTGAGGTTGGTTAGAAAAGCCAATGGGTTCTTTTTGGAGTTTTTAAATATCTCCACCCACTTGACCCTGTACTTTTGGAAGGACATTAAATTTTGATTCAAAGGCACTGCCTCTTAAATAATCGTACAATGTTCATTAGTCTTGAATTTTTACGATCTATCTATATATTTTTTTTTCCTTGTAATTGACTGTTCTAAATATTAATCTACTGATGAAAGCAAAATTCCAAAAAAGGGCGAGTGTTTTTTGTTTTTGTTTTTGTTTTTTTTGTTTTTGTTTTTTACCTGCCTAGTTACAGTATTTTGAAATAAGGTACCGGTATAGAATTGTTAGAGTACGGTAATTTGAAATATAAGGTAATGAATTTGAATAGTTAGTGTAACTGCAAACTTTGCAGATTGTTGCATGCATGTTGTGAATCCTGTTCTAAAAAAACCTCTCAACATCTTTTACTCTGCAGACTTTACACCGAAATGAGAACCACATGATCCAAAATGAGTGTCACAAAATATATTTTCAGCAAAAGTTATGTTAGTTGATGATCCCCTTAAGTGGTTATAGTTACTTTTTGTGTCTCTTGAGATACTGAAATCAAATATTGTTTATTTAACGTAAGAATTCTGCAACTCAATATGTGTGACAGCCACTGATGGTCATGTAATTCTTGTCGTGGCTGAAAATGCAATTACAGTACACTGTATGACTGTGAAATCAGCTGAGAGTGAATTTTCTTATATATATCCAAAATTAAAGTGTTATTTGCTATTATTATGCATTCCCATTAAACATTGAATTGTGTTTCACCCAGAAAGACGAATGTGTCATAATTTCTGTACTGCACTATCAATGTATTGTATTGTCATACTCATATACCCAAGGGGGGGCTCTTGTGGTCTAGAGGTTAAAGTGTTCACCTCTCATTCAATAGGTCCCGGGTTCAAAACCTGACAGTAAAGTAATGGAAAATTTTCTCCTTTCACCTCCTTTTCTGCTCTCTAACCACATTCTGTTGTTGTCTGCTTTCATTTCCACTTTCTGCCCTGCCCCCCCCTCCCCCCCCCTCTTGCCTCTTCCTCTTTTCTGCCGCCTTTCTACTACTACTCCTTGGATCCTTCTTCCAGCGGTCTTTCAGCCACACCCCTGATTTTAGTGTAGGTGAGATCTAACACCTAGCCTTCTCGGACAAGGGTGAAAAATCATCAGAGGTCGCGTGTGTAAGTTGTGCACGTTAAAGATCCCTTGGTGATCCTAATATCAATGAGAGTAGGCTTCGGTGGCCACCTGGGCAAAATTATAAATTAATTCCTACCAAACTGAAAATGTTTAATGTATCCTGCACGCTCATATGACTTAATGCAGTTGCAGGCGCTGCAAAACACTTACCGGAAAAAAAACCCAGAAATTAAAGTTCTGGATATTGATTGATTTTTATATGGGCTACTTCTTTTGTGTTAAATTAGAAACCGTGGTTTTAAAAAATTCATTGTGATAGTATTTAAAGGTTCAAAAAAATTTGATATATTATATATGATGTTTTTGTCTAAAATGTGTCCTCATTTGGGCACTAAAATCAGTGAAAAAAAATTGACCAATTCAAGGCAAAATTGCTATCCTAAAAATAATCATAACTTTTGAACAACTAAAACTAAAGATATAAATTTACACAGTAGAAAAGCATGATTTTCTGGAGGGCAAGACCTTTTTTAAGTCTATTTTTGTAAAAATCTACATATCGAAACAATTTGAAATTTTCACAGAACAGCCTATTTAAAAAATTCTCATCCTCAATTATGTTTCTGATTTAGCCAGACAAATTTTGTCAACTATAATTTTCTACCCTCTTAAAGAAAAATGTTTAAATGACTCGGCACAGAGCCCCTATGATGATGAAATATTTCAAACATTATATTTATTGTATATCCTGAAAAACTAGATTAAGAACCAGGAGGAAGATCTGATTTTCATTGGTGTAGTTCTTAAACCCTTTGAGCCCTAACCACAGGTACAGCTGTGAATGAGGCTCTATTCTCAACTTGGCCCACCTGGGACAAAATGTGCACAGAAAACTGTTAACCATACAGGACGTTTTTGATTATATTTTGAAGATCTTTCTGAATAAGATGCTGGTAATGACAAGGACTACCCTATGTGGGATATGGAATGTGATTCTGATGATGATATGAATGAAGGCGTAAATCACTCTGGAGTTCAGGCGGAGGGGGCACAGTAGCCTCGCGAAGTCAGGGCTTAAATGGTTAAGAACACAAGTCCATTGAGGGGAAAAAAAGATGGAAGAAGTATGTATTTTTATACATACACTGAGGACTACAGCAGCTTGCAGTAGTATTAAGTAGTGGGAAGTTTGCCGGGTTGAGAGAAAAAAGTAATGGGGAATGAAGAGACAATTACGGACTCGACCAGCATCTGTGGTGTAATAGTTAAGCTCTTCAATGTTGCGCAAAGAAGCATGAGTTCAATTCTCTTGTGGAAGTTTTTTGTTGAAGCAGTCTGCTTCCTAAATTATCTAAACTGTGTCAGCGGAAGGAATTTAAAAAATATACTTTTATAATATGAAAAGAACTCGTGCAACATCTTCTGAGACCACCTGTCAGTCTTCCATGTCCGTAAAATAAAATAAATATTTTTTAAAAGATATTGAAGATTCCATGTTTGTCAACAGTGTGAATTTCAGTTCTTCCACTTTCATCAAAGAAATAAATCACTAAAAAAACCTTCATATAATTTTCATGAGCTTTTAATCATCAGCTTATGCAGTATCAGCAGGATATCTAGAGCCATGTGAGTATGAGAGTGGTTTTTGTAATTTCGCATCTCTCACTCTCAGATAGCTAAAATGCATACACAGGCCTACATCGGTTAATTCTTCAATTTGAAAGAGAGGCAGGGTTATACAAAACAGCATGGCAGATACTTCTGATAACGAAGTTGAATAATAATAATAGAGATAGCATTTGTATTGTGCAAATCCCCGCTCAATAGCAAGCCCTCTGCACTTCACAATCTATACTACATGTATTACCCCAGCAGACCTGAGAGCATTCTGAAACAACCTCATCTTTCTGGGAAGCATACAGTGCAGGCAGCCATTTATAGGCGCTAAAAACTAACATACCGCCAAGATCTTTCACTGGTTATGGCCGGGTACTCATTCCCACCTGGGTGAAGTGAGGAAAATTCGTGTAAAGTGCCTTTCCCAAGGACACAACGTCGGGCCCGCGATCTTGCAACCTCGCGATTATAAGTCCGGTAGCCTAACTACTATTTAAGTTTCCGCTTCATTTTGTTTAAACATGAATAGAGAAAAGGCTGCTCTAAGAAAAAACAGGTATCAAGGAAACAGTAAAAAAAAAAACTCTTTCTTGGCGTTTTTCAGAAAAATCATTTTACAAAGGCATGGTGTATTGGTAAACACCGCTGTAGTCATCCTACATTAAAAAAAACAAGTAAAAAACAGATAAGATCATACCCACACCAGTGGTGGTCACCACAGTGCAGTGTCCTGTTTTAGAGCTAGGACATAAGCTAGAGACCGCGAAATTCACAGAGCTACAGTCAGTCTGACAGTTTCATCGTCTGGAATTAGCAAAGCATATTTTTCCTTTGACTTACGAAAACAAGCGAATTTGTTGAATGACAAAGAAAATTTGGTTTGATGTGGTCCTGCATCTGGTACTGATAACTGTTTTGACTGCGAGAGTAGTCTCAAGATCCAACTTCTTCAAATGATGAGTCCACCAATTATCGTAAAACACAATGATAAAATATCGGAGTTCGAAATTGTAGTCTCCTACGGCAAATTATATTGTCACACTCATAAGATAAACGCCTAGAGGTCATTTTGAGCCATTTTGAAAAAAATTAGAAAAAAACTTTCTTTTAAACAATTGACCCTGTGAAACACTTGAATTTTGGTACACTCACTTGATTTTATATTTGGATTTTTTTGTCCAAGTGAACTAAATTACCAAGCTAGCTCTGCTCTTCATTTCAGAACCAAAAACTCCAACTCCAACTAACCAGTCATAAATGACTCCGGCAATTATCTTATGAGCGTAACAATATGAAGCAGTCTTAAACATCCGGCAAATCACTTTTGATAAAGTGATCGTAAGAGACGAGCTATGCAGCAAGGTGTTTAGTCTACTAAATATATACATGCGCAGTTGTCAACTTTTCAAAAACCGAAAACAGACACTAACCAAGCAAGGGGTCAGGGTGGTGGGCATTGGTCAAGTGACCTCCCTCCAACCTTTCACACACACTTTTCTGTATTCAACAGATTCAAGCTATTCAAAGTTGACCCGCAGAAAATGATTTTTCCAATTGACTATTGGGTTTTGTTCTCATTATTATTCACAAATCTCATCAGAAAATTCATAATTTTTGTTCAGCATAAACATGTCAGTGAGGAGCAATACTAACTAAAAATATGAATACATATTTTTAAATACAAAAATGCACTCAGAGCCTCAACAATGTAGTAAACACTTTTTTTTTTAACATACTGATTGGCATCTATGAACATGATTCCAAAAAGATCTTACTAAAACAACCATAACAGGGGAACAGGAAGACTGTTGTAGAGCAAGTATCTTCACAACTCTGACATCTTAAGAAATTCTACGAAAATTATAAAAAAAAGTAAAGCACTGTCACACAGCTTTTTCTCTCTTTTTTGAGGATTAGTCTTGGTGTATGAAATTCTTTACAGTTTGTGTTGGTTCTAGCTAGGCATCTCAGGACCTCCATTTTGATAGTTTCCCGTCATCGCTGCATTGCTGAAGTCCATGCCTGGGTTCTGTGGAAAAAAAAAGGGACATGTGAGGAAATAACTAATAGGCCCTAATCAAGTTTCATTACAAAATGCTCTTAAGTATTGGTTTTTGAACACCAACAACAGGGAAATGACCTTGTCAGAGATCAACTTAACCCTATCCGTACGTCGTGCTTTACTATCGTATCCATACGACATGCGGAACTCTGAGCCCCCCACTTTCCAAAGAGGAAATTTACTCGTTAATCCGATCTGTACACTTTGCATAGCAGTCTGTCAAAACGATTTTTTGAGAAATACTGAAAGTTTCAAAGAGATCTTCACAATAGAAGTATTCTAAAATGTGAAGAATACAACCTCTGGGGTACAAAATAACCCCAGGCGTACAGACAGAGTGATGACTCTAGAACAGACAACAATGACAGAATATCAAAGATGACAAAGTCAAGACTAATCTCAAGATGAAACAGAAGTATGAAGCAGTGAAGGCATCCGTAAGATCTGGGGAGACACAAAATGATGCAAAGAGTGCAGATTTCAACCATTTCCTCGCACTTGCAGAACCCACAAATTCTTTGCATATATTGACCTGACAAGCAACATTTTATGACCAAGACAGCAAACACACCATCATTTATCATTATGGAATTATGTCTTAGATACTTAGGCAAAGCCATCATGTTGTCTTAGCTTAATAGTAAAGAGGAAAAAAGACATACTAAAGGTCTCAAGCATTATAAGGAAGACTGGGGAGCCCGAACAATAAGATAAGACAGCAATTTAGTGATCTCTGCACAGATAAATTTGCAGCAGCACGGCAAATACAGTGGAGCTCAGATTCAACGAGAGCTTGGATTCAACGAGAGGAGATGGGTTCCCCGTTTTTTTCTCCTTCAGGCACCACTAGTTACTTCACTTTATACATTACTTGCTCAGTGCCAGTAATTATCTACACAAAACCTCATATTGTCATATTTGCTATAACGAACACTCAGATTCAACAAGATTTTAGGTCAGGCCAGGCGACTTCAATGAATCCGAGTTCCACTGTACACGCATACATACTCATCAACACACACACACGAACACCAATTACACAGACACACACATGAATAGTTATTGGATGGACACCTAAAATGATGTTATTCTTGCACACTTGTCAATGACTGAAAAATAATGACGGACAAGAAAGAGTTTTCGGGGACATTATACGGAAAGGAACATTCACCTTGAAAATGGTAACACACTTTTATTCTGAGCTGCTCAAAACTAAAAGGCAATAAAAACACTAAACACAGGACAAAAAAAACAACTTACAAAGTCTTTGAAAACATTGAAACTGGTCTAGATTGCATTAGTGATTCAAGGAGCTGGAGCAGAGCTCAGGAGTATTTTAAAAAATAACTAAAAAACAGCCAAAAATCACAAACCTCAAACTGAAATCTTTGCAAGGTCAATTTTTTCTGCATTTCGTCAAAGGTGACTGGGTCAGCTCTGTACTGGTCTTTGAGCAAAGAGGGCCAGCAATGAGCTGCTGTGCTGTGAACTTTACTCAGACAAATCCGTACCATCTTTTTATCTTCTGTGGACAATAATACAGGAATATACATGTATTATACACTCTGTATCATAGCATAAGTATGAAAATATAGCATGGATTTAAAACTTTTCTATCAAACTTCAAATACAGACATGAGCGAGAACTTTCTTTCCTAACAGTACCTAGCAATAGTGACTTTATCATAGACAAATTAGGACATTTCTTATGCCATAGTCTACATCCCTGGTTACACACAGCGATTTATATAAACCGTATCAGATTCATCGCACACAAGAACTGCCACTTTAAGAGAACTGAGTATTCTAAATTCTGTTTACACATTCCAATTTATCATCCAATTCTCTTTTGATTGAGAAAATCCCTCTTCCTTGCGTCAGATAACTGTTATCTATGACTCTATGCGATGACAGCAATTTGCTTGCTCTCTGTGAGTGTGAGCTTAAAACTTAGCTTATTTGAACAGAAGACTAGCTTTTACAGCAAAACATTTTAACTCATACTGTCGTCATCCTACAATTTTCCTAACAACATTTTTTTTAAACATAAAATCCTTCTCGCCCCTCCCAAAACGGACCTAGATCACACATATTAGCAGAGCCAATGGTTTTTTTTTGTTGCAATAATATGGGGTGAGCCTTCCAGACTTTAACCCCATTCAAAGAAATATAAAGGCACACACTGAGTTCAACCTCAAAGTGCACACAAGCCACACTTAAGCACTCTAACTAGTCTAGCATAATCAGCCTGAGTTCATGCAAATTAAGATCAAGTGCTAAAAGCAGACACAATATGACTTGTTTAAATGATTATATTTGGACTTTTCTGATAAAGCTGTGATAGGTGAACCTGTGGAGTACACATGATGTGGAGTGTTCTGTCTCTTGTTTTAATGACTAAAAATGTTTACACATAAATAAATCAATTACTCGCCTAGTGTCCACACAGCATCATCAGCGTGGACTGGTTCATACAGATCGCCCTGTGGAAGACAAAAAATGATTTCATTAACATTGTAGGTGTATTACTTCAAAGACGCATGTATATATGTATATATAATATCAATATAATTATAATTAATTCATCTGATAAGAAGAACAATATGTTGTACTGAAGCTTTTTAAATTATATTAACTCTTAGTTTACGGAAGGCTAATTGCTACTCTTCCGTAGGCCCTACGCAGCCAGTTTTGTCAGCCAAGATTTCAGCATCACAAACTTTCTTTGCATAAAACAAACACCGAACTCAGCAAATAAAGACGTCCTAAGCAGTAAAATACAGTTTGGTTAATGGGAGTGTATACAGACCCGGTAACCGGGAACAAAGTCACAAAGTATACAGACCCGGTAGGGGAACTCTTTTGTGATTTCAGAAAGTTTCAGCGCCTGTTGGCTCAGGGAAGACCTAGGTTCTTCTAGATCTATGGCCCAGGTCTAGATCTAGATAGACAGACATTATAAATGTAGATTAGATCTAGATCTAAATGAAGATTGCAGATGTCTCTTCGATGAACGATAGTTTTTCCTCCGTTTTGGAGTTGGAGGAATCACAATTTGAAGAAAAGAACAATGTCATAATTTCAATCGAGCAGTCACCCTCTCTATTTCTCTGGCTCTCTCTCTCTCTCTCTCTCTCTCTCTCTCTCTCTCTCTCTCTCTCTCTCTCTCTCTCTCTCTGTGTGTGTGTGTGTATCACTCGCATTCTCTTTTTCTTTGTTTGTCTCCGTCTTTCTTTCTCTCCACCTATTTCCCACTCTATCTTTCTCTCGTTCCCTCCTACCAACTCGGGGCATGTTATCACATTTTGCTAACACTTCTCTCCCCTCTCTCTCTCTCTCCCTCTCTCTCTCTCTCTCTCTCTCTCTCTCTCTCTCACACACACACACACACACACACACACACACACACACACACACACGACCGGGTCTGGGTGCTGAAACTTTCCGAAATCACAAAAGAGTTCCCCTACCGGGTCTGTATACTTCGTGACTTGGTTCCCGGTTACCGGGTCTGTATACACTTCGTTGGTTAATATAGAAAGAATTTGCTGAGGTCTGTTGGAGTCTTGTTATGACTGCCGTGAGTCCACTGAACTGGCCACTGCTGCGCCATATACAAAGAGTTAAATTATAGTACATCCTTTTCATTGCATAATATCAATGACTGCCACATTTAGATGAAAAAAATAAATACCCTGGAGAAAAAAATCCCCCAAAAAAGAGAAAGTCAAAGGAAAGAAGGGCTCAGAGTCATTGATGTAGCTGAAGATTCCCTGCTAGACAAAATGCAAAAATATTCTTCAAGTTGAAGCACTCAATATCCAATAGAAAAATACTCTAAAAACTAGAAGAAAATACTCAATCATAAGCTAAAAAATGTACTGTCTAGCTGGTGGGCTCAGACAGTCCCTTTGAATGTTTTATTTTCTATAGGCATCTAACTATACCTGATAAAACAGCACTAAAATGCAACAAGATGAAATATTATTAAAAAGTAAAGATCATTTATAAATATGATCGTGTTATAATAATAGTTTATCTATCATAATACATTTTCATATCGAAGTGACTATTCGGACTCGAGTCCAATTCAAGAAAAATTATATTCGGACTCTGATTCGAATCTGTATGTCGGTTGTCTGTTTTGTTTTTGTAAAGTGTTTTACGGCGTTCGCAACTGCATAGGTCATATGAGCGCGCGGGACACACCTAATATTTTCAGTTGGTAGGAAATTTTGAATTTTGCCCGGGTGGCGACCGAAACCTACTCTTATCGATTTTAGACCACCAAGGGATCTTTAACGTGTGCAACTTGCACACGGGCCCTCCGAGATTTTTCGCCCTTGTCCGAGAAGGCTAAGTGTAGATCTTTCCTACCAGAAGATCAGGGGTGTGGCAGAAAGACAGCAGTAAGGAGGGGCCAAGGAGTAGCAGTAGAAAGGCTGCAGAAAGAGTCAGGAGCCCAGAGGAGGGGGCAAAGGAGGTGAGAGGGTGGGGGCAGAAAGTGGAAATGAAAGCAGACAACAGAACATTGCTAGAGGGCAGGGAAGGAGGTGAAAGGAGACAATTTTAGAGAAGAAAATTTTTTGGTCGCTACCCGGATTCGAACCCGGGACCTTTGAATGAGAGGCCAACACCTTAACCTCTAGGCCACGAGAGCCCCCCACACACACACGAGTCGGTTGTCTGTTATATGCTAAATATTTCCAGCATTTACAAAAATTGTTTCGATTATAATGATAAAAATCGAGACGTGAGCTTTACGTAAAGTCCCCAGATGACAGTTATATAATGTAACTTCCTTACACTAGTTACTAAATCTAGCCCGATCTCTAAACTGGTCCTCTCTGCATCTATAGGCCTAGTAATCTATTTATCATGTTTCAGAACAACCACGTTGAGTTGACCTCGCCAGGGGCAAAGTTAAATAGGTTGACCAATGAGATCATGTATAACCGATCGCGCATTCTCGGCTAGATGGGGGAAGAGGTATTGGGAAGAGGCCACGGCTGCCAATTTTGTGCAATGTAATTGTTTTTGTTTTTTAATAAATTAATTACAGAAAAACTATAAACATCAACAAAATGAAATTTTATACTGAAAAGACAAAAGGTGGTGAAAGTAATCAAGATGCTGTTGACTGGTAGTGGTACCCGGGGCTGGTTGCCACATATATGTCAACTCTTGAGTTGTTGGCTACCATGTCATGTACGTAGACACTGCCGTTGGGTAATGAGAGTGCAGTCTTTTGACTTCTGACACAGTTACACAAATCTTGTAGGGAATTCTATTTCTAATTATGGTTTTTTTACGTAAAATTAAAAATCCCACGACGACAGTTGTATTACGCAGCCTCCTTATAACAACACTCTATAACCCAGTAAGTTAGAAGAAGAGTCTGAATGAATAAAACATTTTTTTCAGACCCAAGTCCAAATAGATAAAAAATCTTATCGGACTGGAGTCCGATTTGTAGAAGTGGCCTTTTCATACAGTCTTTTTAAAATTTTGACTAGACCCATTATCATAATAGATCTAGGTGTATTTGTTCATCTGAGGGAAAATCATTGCTTGAGATAGCTCTCCACAGTCTACGTCAGGCCTATAGTAACACTGATTTTTATTTTGAATTAACAGAGAATTTTTTAAACTTGAACTTTCAGTTCATGATGAGTCTTTCGCATAAAAATTCATCAGATGAGTATAATTAACAGCTTGCACAAGGTTCACATTGTGAACTGAGGGCGCCATTAAATTGACCCGACCCTGCTAATAAGCACCTGGAATTAATTAGAATCCAACCATTTACCTGAAACACTGTTGCTCCTTGAATGGAAAGACTGATGGCTCTCGGTTTGATGTTACATTTCACTTCCTTGGCATTCAGTATCTGGTTGCTTGCTACTTCTATAAAGACTTCTTCCATTGTCTGCCACCAGAAGCCCCATTCGGTTTTGCATGGAATTACTCCACTTCTTTCATCAAAGTGGGTCATTCTGCTTTGGCTTTGTGGGATCCTTTTTGTACTCTAAAGACTCAGTGACAATGCCTGGCTTCACTTGGATATTATTTATGGTGTCAGTCCCAGGTGAGTGACAGTCTCTCTAGATGAAGACAAACAGTCAAAGTACAAATGAATGGGGGCTACATTAAACTAAAAATGAATTACAATCTAGTAGCTTCAGTACTGTCTGCACTTTAAAGTCGTGCAGACAAGACTTGCTTACTAGAACTACAACTGTGTAGCAACTTAACTAGATTTACATACATATCTAGGCTTAGCAGACTGTTGTCAAGACCAAGAAGAGGCGAGAGGAAAAGGACGGAGAAGACTGAGCGAAGTCGAAGTCAATTATACCCATATTAACACCCCTTTCATATGGTCTGTCTTTCATTACTCTCAACATTAAAAGCAGCCAAATATTTCATGTATAACGAATCTGAGTATGATGACTGACAATGACATGAAACTTTCCACTTTCCACCCACAGTTACAGGAAAATAAACAATGTGAAACCGAAAGTGCGGATGCCGGGCACTCTTTTCTTTTAGGAGATAAGGAAACAAATCTCGAATAAGCCAGGTTGCACTTTCTGTAGTTTGTAGGCCAGAACATTTAGAAATGTGCTCTGATATATTATTACTTTCAGAATTTATAGAATAAGATCACAATAACAAATATTTTCAAAAATTTACAAAAATATTTTTTTAATCATATTTGTAAAGGTAATGTCTCTAGAAATTCACACAATCATAAAGAGAATGAGGAAGATCTAATTTCTTTGGCTTTAGACACCAAGGAAAAACGACACAAACAAAAAGTACGAATATCGATAAAATAAGTACATAGTAATCGAAAATAAGTTGGAAAAAAATCTGTCAACATGTGTGCCATTGCTTTCACTTTCATGGATTTAATGAAGAGGGAATCTTAAGTCAACTCCCAAAATTGAGGGAGTTTGATCTGAACTGACATCTCTGTAATATTCGGTTCTTGACCTTTTTCTTCAAATTTAGAAGTAGGCTAAAGCTGATTGACTTCAAAATGTCCAGTAAAGCCGTTGCGAAGTCGGTGCAGTTTGCATCCAACTTGCCACAGCTTCAAAATTTGATGAAACGTGATCCACAGTCATACAAAGATGAGGTATGGTAGATACATAGATCTAAACTAGATCTAGATCTAGTCTTTGACAACCAGCTAAGTTTAGATCTAAATATGCAGATTAATTGGTGTTGATTTACTTCCACACCAGTCTCATATCCAGATAGTCAGTAGTGCCATTGTTTGACCATTGCCATGGATGGCTGGAGGAATTGCATTTATTATACTATACGGCATAATACGCTGTGTCTACGTAGCCTCGGGGTCTACGTACACGGTAACCGTGTACATAGCCTCCTGGTCTACGTACACAGTAACCGGGCAGGTAAGCTAGCCTCAGTGTCTACGTACACGGTACCGGTAACCGGCAACCGGGCGCGTACGTAGCCTCGGGGTCTACGTACACGGTAACCGGGTGTGTAGTCTCAATGTCACACGCACGGTAACCAGGCGAGTAGATCTAGCTTCAATATCTACGTACACGGTAACCAGCAACCGGGCGCGTAGCCTCAGTGTCTGCGTACACTGTAACCGGGTATTTTGTTTTGTGGGCGGGCGCTTGAGCTAGGTGCACGGTAACTGCTTCGCTCCCTTCGTGACCTTGACCCTTTTCTTGTTTCACTCCGCTTTTTATGTTCCAAAACCACGAAAATTATCCCAATCTACTCCCCGTCATCTTTCCTAGTTTAGTTTAGTGTTAGCAGAGGTTTTACGGCACTCGCAACTGCATAAGGTCATATGAGCGCCAGAGAATTAGAGGTAGAGTAACAAACACAAAAAGAAGGAAAAGAAAGATAAGGATGACAGATGTTGAATAGGAAAGTAGGAGCAGACCACACAAGAGTACCCACCAACCACCCACTAATACTGTCTTTACACACACCACACTTACAATCACACACAAAAATACATTAACACACACAGAGAGAGAGACAGATTGAGACAGAGAGTGAGAGAATAGAGAGAGAGGGGGGAAAAGTAAAAGAGATAGAGTGAGAGATGGGAAAAGTAAAAGAGAGAGAGAGGAGAGAGAAAGAAAGAGAGAGAGATAGTGTGGGTGTGTGTGTGTGAGAGAGAGAGTGAGAGAAGAGAGAGGGGGGGGAGTGAAAGAGGAGAGAAAGAAAGAGAGAGAGAGACAGTGTATGTGTGTGTGTGCATATGTGTGAGAGAGAGAGGGGGAGG